CAAAATAAGGTTTTTTGCGATATCGACACATATAAAGAATAATTTTTATCTTAGGATAATTATTCTTTATTCAGAAATATCGCATTATTTATGGCAATTAGATGTGTCTTGACAACGACTATTTGCTTTTACCATTCTTGTTTCTCTACCATTTAGTTTTTTATTTTATTCCTGTTTTTCATGTTAATTTGTGTGTATATATATATATATAAAGCTTTAGCAGTTTTTCATTGATGTCAAAAAATTTTATAGGCAGAAAAATCACATGACAGATCCATCTTTACCACATTAATTTTTATATCATTTGATTGTCATGAGCATTAAATCAATAAAAACCATAAATGTGTTTTCTCTTGTAAAATATACTTTATTTTAACCTAAATTTATAGGTATTGCCTGCCACATTTGTCTTAATATTATTATGTATGCAATATTTATATTATTATTGCTGTTCGTCGGGCGGCTACCAAAGAAGGGGTTCGCTATACATCAAAATTGCGTGAAAGAGAAAGAGAGCGAGAGAAAGATAATTAGAGAGAGGGCGAGAATTAATTATTACTAAGCAGGATTAATTCCTCGGGGAAAATATTATTTAATAAAATTGTATAATCTTAAAAATTAAAGATAATTAAATCATCAATAAATCTAAAAACAAATTTAATATTAAGAGTATAATTTTTTTCATAATAATGCAAAAATAAGTGATCTGAGAGAGATGAAAAATTAGATCTTTATTTTATTCCATCAATTTGAAGAAAAAAATCTTTTCCATTGTAAAGATAATTATTAAAAAGATAAAAATTAATTAGAATTTCCCAATAATTAAAATCGCAATTAAAGATATTTTTAAAATCATTGTAATAATTCAAAAGGATATCTGTTAGTTTAGAAAGGGGAATGCTATTGAAAGGATCCTGGGAATCAAATGTCGCAATAGAATTAATTTTATCATGCTTAATAAATTCCAAAATCAGTTGATTATTAGTGATAAACCAAGAAAAACCATCTTTAATAATATTGTTAAAAATTTTATTTAAGTAGTTAGAGAAAATGGGGCCAGGTTCAGCTTGGTAAGTATTAGACCCACGTGTGATTGTTCGAAATTTTATAAGAATTTCATGAAATTTAGGATAGATAATTAAGTAAGGAAATTGTATATTGCTTATTTTTATTTTTAACCTCTTATATAAAGCTAAAATGTTTTTAATGACAATATTATTATTTAAATTGCTAAGCTTAAAATTTTTACTATTATTTAACTCCGTATTCAGCATAAATTTTTTTACAGAAGATTGCATAATTATTGTTAGCTTTGTCTAAGGGGGTAATTTTTAAAATTGTTTGGTAGTTGCTTAATTGATTGAACAATTTTAGAAAAATTTGTTGAATTGATACTGTTATTCCTATTTTCTTTATTATTCAAAATAAAATTTTTAAAGTAATAATAAACAATTTCCATTTTGTTAACATACCTACAGGTTGAGAGAAACTGTTTGATATCTTTAAACAAAAACTATAGAGATCATTAAGAAAGTATCTTAACATTTTATTAATTGATCTATGTTAAATGGGTCTAAATTTTGTTCTTTTATGATTAAACTTTCTATAATAAGCTCTCGATAATATTTAAATTGCCAGTAATAATATGTTTATGATGTTTTTCAGCAAAATCAAAATATTTCTCTTCTTCATAGTGACATTCATAATCGGATACATTTATCCTCCCTAAACTTCTGCTAATATCATTATAATTTAATATAGTTCTCCCAAGAGATTTATCATATTTAAAGCTTTTAAGGTGACAAGGGACTTTCAAAGAAGCAAAAATTTGTCAAAAAATCGATATTTTACATTTTATAATTTTGAAATCTAGGCATTTTACTGAAAATTTAAAAAAAGAAAATTCTGGAATAATAGCAAAATTGAAGAAGTTATGGCCATTTCAGTTTTGACCACGCCCCTTTGTTTACCTTTTTTTGTCTGCAGATAACTGTTAAAATTAGTTTCGTTTAAAATTAGTTGATTATTTTGTTATTATTTTTTAAAAAAATTTAAGTATATAATTAAACTAGTTCATTAGAAAATATTTATAGGTATTTATATTAAAAACAAGAAATATTTGTTCAGAAGTAAAATTTGCAATGAAAAAGTAGTAAATGTCATTTTTCTCAAAATGTCTTTTTTGACAAATTTACAAATTTCAAACTGTTCCAGCGTAATGAATTTTCATTCTATTGACCTGAGAATTTAATGCTATATATTTATGAATATTATTAACATTTTGTTGGAAAAGTTTTTTGAATTAAGTGAATAGAATTTTTTTTATACATGATATTTTATAGAGGTATGATGATTTTTTCCTAAAAATGTAGGTTTTTTACTGTTTTTTTAATGTTATTTGTTTCTATAATAAAAAATAAAAAAAGTACTCCCAACAATTTTTTCAATATTACCTAATATGTAATATTTTAAAAGAATTTTGTCATTTTGACAAAATTTCAGACGCGAGGAGTAATATAAAAAAAACATAAAAAATTCAAAAATTTAAATTTTTAAATTTCGTAAATTTTGAAATATTTTTTTGAAATTTTGAATAAAAATTGTTTTTAACGATATAAATGTATTCTGAAAATTTCAAGCAAATCCCTTGATAATTTTTAAAAAAAAATTTGAAAGTCCCTTGTCGCCTTAATTAAGTTAAAATCTTTTAATGGAAATAATTATTTAAAGTTTTTAAAAATATTAGTAAAATTTATTTTACCGAAAATATGGCTTTGAAAGTTGATAACTAAAGATAAATTATCTATTTTACTCATTATTATTATACATTACTCTAAATTTTTTCT